TTGTTGGTATTCTAAGAGTTCGTGTTGTTTGTTGGTTTTCTAAGAGTTCTTGTTGTTTGTTGGTATTCTAAGAGTTCGTGTTGTTTGTTGGTTTTCTAAGAGTTCGTGTTGTTTGTTGGTATTCTAAGAGTTCGTGTTGTTTGTTGGTTTCTTTATAAATTTATTTGTGGTTTTAAACGTACGTGGTATTTGTTGATTGATTCTTCTATGAAAACTCGATTTATTGTTTTATTTCATATATATACATTTTTACATGTTGTTCGTTTGCTTATTTATAAGCCCACGCTGTTTGTCGGTAGCTTCAGTAGTCAAGGTTTTGGTGTGTGAATCAGAACATAGCGTTCGTAAGTGTCCTGCACGTTGCTGCTGGTTCCATTATCAATACACGTTGTTGAAATCTGTTGCTATCTTTTAAATAAGTCCAAGCTGTTTGTTTGTTGTTTTCATTATCAGTAGCGAGTGTCGATCGTCCTGTACGCGTTGTTTCTAGGGGACTTTAGAAGGACAACATACACTCTCATTCTCTGTGACTAAATAAGATTATTTTGTTGGATTCATTAACATACCCAATTATATACATTTTGTGGTATTTGTATCGATAGGGTACATTAGGAACGTTCACGGTGACAGTAGTTACGTCATCATCGTTCACTGCGTGGACCACCGGAAGCTAAACACCTATGGATGTGAGTAGCAAAAACAACCATGCACGGGCCTTTTCTTACTCACAGTGATCCGAGAATTTGTTACCGCTATACTTGCGACATAAACTAAGGAATTGAGAAGTTTTACACGTTTTAGATCAACTTTCATTTTAACCGAAAGTTGACCTAAACATCTAAAACGAGTAAAAGTATTCTGAACACCTTAGTTTAGGTCCAAATATAGCTGTAAAAAATGCTCAAGTCCCTGTGTTCTTATTATCTGTGATTGGAAAATGTTACGATTTATTCTGTTTTTCGCAAATTTGTCCTGCGATTTAATGCATAATTATGAAAAGGACTATTGGGATATAGCTAGGACCATTTGTATTGACAGAAACAAATGCCTGTGTTCCGTCACTTGCCAAGTTGCGCTTGTTTGGGTTATCAGATTGTATACATTGATTGAACTATTTTATTTTGTCCATTGTACTTAATCAACTCAGAATATTCTGTGGAGCAAATTAAACACAAGAATTGAAAGATCACGATGAGTGTTTTGCAGAGATAAGAAAACAAATTGTCAGCTAAAAGTTAGAGTATGGTTGTGTGTTTGTGAAAAAAAGTGAAAGATTTCTTGAAGGTGACGCAGTCCTATTCAGGGGGTAATTTCTCTAAAAACATTAAAAGATATAGTTTATAGTATTTGAGTGCTTTACAATCCCTGGATACGTGCTTATGATACTGTTGAGTTTCATATATTTAAAATCCTAACACAGCTATCTGGGATCCAACCGACTACAAGTTGCTAATACAGACCTTTCGTGAGGAGGAAAGACGCGCAGACCAGACAGTGGAAAAACTGCAGCAGGCCTTGGACGCTTCCCAGGTAAACGTTGTTTTCATATGGGCACTCTGTTTTCAAGTGAGTTGCAAGTATTTCGAAATAATCAAAATATATAGCCACATTAAAAAAAAGTTCAATGGCGAATATCATTTTTTTTTAATTTTTGCGCTGAAAATTATGATTTAAATGTACACCATCCCCTATGTGCACATGTACAAGAGTGTAATTCTTTATATGTTGTCTCTCGAAGGTGAAAGGAGAGGTCGTGAAACTGTCTGGAGAAGCTGGTCCAACGATAATTAAAATCGCGGAAGAGCGGAAAGCGAACATGATATTAACGGGGTGTAGAGGACTTGGTACCATCAGACGTACATTTCTCGGAAGCGTTAGTGACTACATCATTCATCATTCCCATGTACCCGTACTGGTTTGTCGACATTGAATTAGTACACGATTCATAACAGGATTACAGGATATCAAATCCATCATTCCCGAGAACTCACGATCAATTACAGCATCACAGGACGTCGAATCCATCATTACAGTATAAACGCGTACTCACGATCAATAACAGGATTACAGGATTACAGGACATCAAATCCATCATTTCAAAAAACACCACGATAAATTACAGGACCAACACCGCAGGTGCTTGTTTGGCATCAAAAACGACGACAATGTTGCGTTTTATCTGTGAACTACACGTAACCTATAGGGACGCATGAAGAAAATATATCAAATTGCTTTATTTTGTTGAAACTTAAGAAGAAAACAACGCCCTCATCTATTAGAGTTATGTTTAGACCGTGTTAGTCTTAGACTGGTGTCCAGTCAGTGGTCAAAGTTGGCATTCGACCTTAATATATTGTATGAAGAGCACACACGTACAGGGGCAAAACATTGTACATCCGTCACTAGTCCGAATTATTCTGACGTTTTATCGACTTTTTATATCAGTCTATCGACGACAAACCGATCTAAAAAAAAGTCGATAAAACGTCAGAATAATTCGGACTAATCCGTCACGTGTATCACGCAGCATCCATTTAGACTGTATTGTTAATGTCTGCACGTTTGTACAATTGTACTTACATGTGCTCAATCTTACTTACCTAGTGAGATTATTAAATTAATTACATAATAATGCAGTATTTGTCATTAATTCATCCAAAAGGATGTTAGCACATCCATCATTTCAAAGAGCCCACGATCAATTACAGATTACAGGACGTCAAATCCATTCAATTTTGATTCTTGTAACAAAATGTCAGGGCCAAAAGGTCGTTCAATGTTGAAATGTAACAAGAAAGAAATTGCTACTTAAATTATACAATGTACTCAAAAAAGTGTTTTTTAATCTAGATTTCGCTGATGTGATAAAACTTAAAAAGAATATAGAATTTGCTGAAATTTATGGGAAACAATTAGTTTAGGGTACAACAGAAGGAGCTCCAATATAGAAATGCGTCTTTTATCAAACTATGAACAAGTAGTATGTACATCGTCTTTTGTCCATGTTACACACTATAATTATTATCAATTTGAAATTAACGATTTGGATATGATTTTCTACCCTTTTGGCCCATAGCTAGCATTATGTTGTATGGCGCAGTGTAATTCACTTTTCGCATAATGTATCTATAGATTTATTTTAAATGTGCAATCATGCACTAGTGTGTCATATATTCGTTTTTCTAAACCATCGTCAATAAAAATTTGTTAAAAATGAATAAAGGACAATATTTTTTATGAAGATGGACACAACACACAATTCATACAAATACATGTATATATATGTATTGAAATTTTGATGAATGTAAGTTAAAGAGCAAGTAAGTTGTGCCATGGTCTTACTTTGGTTAATACGGCGTTTAACCCTATGAAACTAATCAAAATTTAATAAAGGGCCAACATTTTTTATAGCATACTTGGTTTAAGTACATGTTTATGTGAAACATGTGATATGAAAATAACACTGTATATAGAGGGAAAGCAGACCTGATTCAGTATGCGCTACTTCGCCTTCAAAACATACAAGTGTAATAACACGGAAGTTATGGTCCATAAAAAAACTTTGGTTTGATAATAACATAGGATCAAAACTTCACAAACAAATACATGAACAGTGTCACGTTCTGGAGCGCGATTTTGTCCGAGCTATGCCTGTGCATCGGAACTGGACTGGGTCGTTAACTTTTGCTGGCAGGTATATATCTCATTTGGTAGAGCGTCCGTCTAGAGTTCGGAGAGTCGGTCTGGGTTCGAATCCAGGCCAGGCTGTGCATTCCTCTTCTCCTGTTACAGAGGTGTTTTTGACCAGTCTTTGACTGGCAAGGGAATACCCAAAGCTGGTTGTAAATATGAAATAGCGTTGTCTTGTCTTGTTCTGGTGTTTCCCCTCCTTTCTATATACGAGCTGTCCATTAAAAATAAAATACTATTAAAGTTCTTAATGGTAATGGACAAACATGTATTTCTCATTATTATGTAATCACCGGAACAAAAATTTGGACGTGAGCACAGAATTTGAGTTTAACCATGAGAAACTAAATGTTTTATGAATAAGGGACCTGGTAGAGCGTCTGTCACAGTCTGGAGGAAAAGTTTGAATCCCTGCAGTCTCGCCGTGTTTTTTTTTTTATCTCCTGATACACTTATATGGAATCTTACGAGTAATATTGTTAAAAGTTCTTAACATATTTGACCACTGTCTCCTTTGATTTAGGTAAGAGACATGATATACGAAAATAAATAAATAATTTAAATGAATTAATGAATCTTTGAGTAAGGACAGTTTAAAACAAATATCTTCTCAGTTTATATAATAATTTGATAAAAAAACCTCAAAGGTACCTGCATGCTTCTGGTCAAACATTAGAACATGGGTTCTTTCAGTTAAGTTAAGAAGCCAGTCAAAAAAAAACCAGACGGACGACAGATACTGTATGTGGTATGCTCATCGAATGCACCTGACTTTATTCGAAATCTTTTGTGTTGGAGATTCGTTTTGTATAGGGCTCTTTTCGGCTGCTGCAACAATCCCGGCTGAGTTATGAGTTTACAATCTTGTAACAACAACACGGTTGAACTGGTGAAGTCACAAATGAAGAAGTCCGTGAAATTGATCAATGTCTACAGATGGATAATCGATGCTTATATCTCGGTAAAGTAACAGACTAAGACTGCTACATTCGTTGCGTCCTGTATTCAGTAGTCAGTGTTTCGAGTACTTTAGTCGAACAAGAGGCCGGGTATTAATAATAGTACTTTTCGGCTGCTGCAACAAACGCCGCTAAATATGAATTTACAGTCTTGTAACAACAACACGGTTGAACAATATATAAACAAATCTCTCGTCGTCAGAAAGCTACGTTATCGCAACTACCAGGCTACGAGTACTTGTTTAACCAAAAGTAGTCTTTTACTAAAGCCGTTTTAGCCTCGGTAAGGTAAGGTATTGGGATGGACCGTCTTTCACGCCAATATCTTACCAACGGAACGTTCGGGGTCGTTTTCTAATTATATTATAACCAGACGGAAATGTACAGTGACTTTGTTTGAATCCAATTTTGATAAAACTTTACTCCCTGTTAGAGAATTGTCTAGTGTTAATATAATATTATTTATCCGTTGCTCTGTTATTGACCTACAATGTACCACTTTTCATCCCAGCACAAAAGTTACACTTTGAAGTCTCCCCGGAAAATTAGTTTTAGAAAAGTTAATTAACATAGAATCCAATGGGAAATCATGTAACATGAAAGACTTGTGGCATGCCACTGGTTAGTACTAATATATTAATACCCGGCCTCCTCTGCCCCGGCAATATATAAATAATCTCTGGTCGTCAGAAAGCTACCTTATCCCAGCTAGCCACTTAATTGTTTGTTTCTTTGGAGGAAGAATCACAAATGATGACTGTGTTTCTTTTCGGATGTCTCGAATGGTCCTGTCGGATATGTCAAAACAATTTTCCTCACTCACCTGTCCTCTTAATCTTGACCACCAATATAGGACACAGTTTCTATTACATACACTCAACAGTTTCACAGAAATGCAGTATTTCAGCAAATAAGTAAACAACCCCCTTTTTCACGCCTCTGCAATAGGACACCCGAGGGCATAAACATCAACATTGATGGAGCCCTCATAAAATAAAGAAGAAGTGCAATTAACTGGTTAAGCTAACATAGTATTGTAGCATAAACACCTACAACTGGCATAACAGTTATAATGTATCAGAAATAACTCTCTTGAGTACGATGTCACCTCTTTTTTTTTTTACAAACTCTTGATGCAAAATTAGATATCCAAAAATTTAAAAGTATTCATCAGGCTATACTTTTTGTTGTCAATATTATAGGATATTGGGGTATTGTACATGAAGGAAACAGCTGAAGAAATTACATAACCATAACAAAATTAGCATTAATTTAAGGATTAACTTGAATATATTTTTCATGTTATGGAGCTATAACACAAAAAAAACGGAGTGTTCTCTCAGCATAAACCGCCTTGCGGTTTATTTAGAGTACACTCCGTTTTTTTGTGTGATAGCTCCATAACATGAAAAATATATTCAAGTTAATCCTTATAATTTAATCTACTACACACAATCCCTGTGGAATTCCACTTTTATTGATGGACACTTTTCTTTTAGAAATTAATGCGCTGCTGTATCAGCCAATCAAAAGCGATGTTACAAACGGCGACGTCATTTTTTTACGTTATGGGCCTATAACATAAATTTTTAAGCCAATGAAAATACTTGTTACAAGCAAAATTAAATTATATGATGATAACAATATAACACTACTTAGAATTATGAAAAATAAATAAATCAATGAATGAAAGAGGAAAGGTTGTACAAGTACATGCTAGCCGTTCTATGTGAGGACAACAAATTGATTGGAAGGCTGTTTCCAGGGCTCTTGATCCCTATAGCTAACATCTTTATAAATTACAGGTTGATACGAATGTAGCTATATAGGTATTTACAGCTTTATAGTTAGTTAAATGGCAGATTGTAATGGACCTGCTGTATTATACAACAGTGAGTTAGTATACCCCAATTTAAATTAATCTATATACTGTTAACGATATAAAGAGGATGAAGAGAATACACTGAAAATCCAATGCATTCTCTCCAGCCAGCGAGGAAAAAAAATCTTTAGGACTTCGGCACACATATTTGAAGTGTACAGTGGTGAACAAAAGTGAAAAAAAAGAACCCATAGAAAATCATCAAAGTTGGCTACTGAAATTCAAACATGGCTACTTTTTTGGCTACTGATTTTTTAGGTCCAGGGTGAGCCCTGTGAAGGCAGCAAAATCAGCAACCATGAACTATAATAAAAGTCACATTTAAAGTTGTAAAATTGTTGTTTAATTCCTATTGGTTTCCATATACATAATGGGTATACCCGGTGTCATGCATAAAAAGTACCCCCCTACCAAAAAGTATCCGGATACTTTTTATACCTGCATAAAATGTACCCCCCCTGCATAAAAAGTACCCCCCTTGTGATAAAAAAAATATTTATCTATTTTCAAACCAATTGAGTTCAGAATTTGATCAGGATGTAACAGTTGAATATTTATCCACCCCTACCCAAACAATCCCCACCCCCGGGGCCAGGAAATGATGCCAAAATATTTTTTAAACACTGGTTTGGAGAGTCATGAAGAAACATTTACAGTTATGTTATAGTCATTACCCAACCTATATTCAATTCCCCAC